GGCAAGAGAAACTCCCAGTGTTCAAGCTAGTTGGGTCTACGTAGCAAATTCTGGGCCAGTCAGGGCTATATAGCAAGGACTTTGCCTCAAAAAATAAAAACCCAAACCAAGGAGAAACAAGTGTTGAGGATGAGAGGAGAGAGGAGCCCTTATTCTCTGCGGGTGGGAATGTAAACTATTGCAGCTGCTATGAAAATTGCTATGGACTTTTCCAAAAAAAAAAAAAAAACCCTCAAAATAGAATTAGCCTATGACCCAGCTAGACCACTCCCAGATGTATGTACAAACAGTTGTTAAGTCAGCACGCCACAGACATACTCGCACAACCATATATATTGGCACACTATTTCTACTTGCCAAGATATGGAACTAGTCCAGACGTCCATCAAAAGCAACATAGGCTGAGGACCTGGCTTAGCAGGTGAGGACACTTGTCACCAAGCCACACAATGACCTGAGTTCAGTTTATCAGGACCCATGTGGTGGCAGGAGAGACCTGCCTCCTGCAAGTTGTCCCCTGACCTCCACATGTAAGCCATGGCCCATATGCCCCCTAATCCCCATAAAACAAAAAATAAATGTAATTTTTAAAAGGTCGATAGATAAAGGAAATGTAAAATACACACACCATGGAGTTTTTGTTATTGTTATATTTATTTTGAGACAGGGTCTCACTATGTAGCCCTGGCTGTCCTGGAATCTGATATGTGGACCAGGCTGGCCTTAAATTTTCAGAGAGCTACCTGCCTCTGCCTCCCACTACTAGGATTAAAGGCATTAAAGTGCCACCAGGCTTAGCTTGTTTTTGGACAGGTTTTTTGAATCTCAGGCTGGTTTCCAGCTCTTTATGTAGCCAAAGATGACTTTGAATTCCTAATTCTCCTGCCTCTACCTTCCAAATCTTAAGGCCTCAGAAAGACAGAAATTGTTACACATATAATAAACAGATTTCTTACTAAGTTTATTGCTGAGTTGTATTTTTTCTTTTAAAAATAATTTTCAGGGCTGGAGAGATGGCTCAGCGGTTAGGAGCACTGGCTACTCTTCCAGAGGACCTGGGTTCAATTCCCAGCACCCACATGGCAGCTCACAACTGTCTGTAACTCCAGTTCCAGGAAACCTAGTACTGTGGGCAAAATAAATGTATATAAAAATAATTTTCGGGCGGTGGTGGCACATGCCTTTAATCCCAGCACTTGGGAGGCAGAGGCAGGTAGATCTTTGTGAGTTCAAGGCCAGCCTGGTCTACAGAGTGGGATCCAGGAAAGGCGCAAAACTACACAGAGAAACCCTGTCTTGAAAAACCAAAAAAAAAAATAAAAAATAAAAATAAAAAATAATTTTTTGGGGGAGAGTATTTTTCAAGTTAGGGTTTCTCTGTGAAACAATCCTGGCTGTCTTGGAACTCACTCTGTAGACCAGGCTGGCCTTGAACTCACAGAGATCTGCTTGCCTCTGCCTCCTGAGTGCTGGGATGAAAGGCGTGCGCCACCAACTGGCGAACTGTGACTCTTAAGAACTACTGGTGAAAGGACAAAACTGTACAGCCATTCTGGAAACTAATCTGGCAATTTAAAAAAAAAAAATTTTTTTTTGAGACAGGGTCTCACTATTAGCTCTGGCTAGCCTTGAACTCACAGAGATCTCCCTGCCTCTGCCTCTGGAGTATTGGGGTTAAAGACTTGTGCCACCACATCCCACGCTGGGCTTTACAAAAAGCATTAGTTAGGCCGGGCGGTGGTGGCACACACCTTTAATCCCAGCACTAGGGAGGCAGAGGCAGGTGGATCTCTGTGAGTTCAAGGCCAGCCTGGACTACAGAGCGAGTTCCAGGACAGGCTCCAAAGCTACACAGAGAAATACTGTCTCAAAAAAAAAAAAAAATCAGTTAAAAAAAAGAAAGAAAGAATAAAGAAGGAAACATTTAGAAGAAACCTAAATGTCCAAGAACTAAATAAACCATCATGTGAGCACAGAACAGAAAACTAAGCCACAGCAAAAATGAATCAACTAGGAGTTGGGGATTTAGCTCAGTGGTAGAGCACTTGCCTAGCAAGCTCAAGGTCCTGGGTTCGGTCCTCAGCTCCGGAGGGGGGGGGGGGAAGAAGAAGAATCAACTAGATAGAGCAAAAGCTTCAGCACGAACAAGGTCTACAGACACAAGACTAGGTGGGAAACTGCCACTGAGAGAATTTGTGTGGTTGCTGTGTTTAAATCTTAAACCACTGGCACCATACTTCCACGGAGATCCCAAACAGGTGGCGGCATCCATAGGTGCTCAGGAATTGTAAGCTCAGGAGAGTGGTTCCCTCTGGCTCTTTGTGGGGTGAGGAGGAAGGAGGGCACTTTAAGGTGAGGGAGGGGTCCATCTTTGTGCTAGTCTTTTTGTGTTCCGTGTGTCTCAAAGATTTCGGAGTAAAGCAAACAGCAAACCAAAAAACCCCGAGAAAAGGGTGGAGAAAAGCTGGCTGGCTACTGGACCTGGACACTGAGGTCCCACCATGGCCCTGTCACTTGTCTCAAAAGGAGGCAGAGTATCATTCTGGAAGTGAAGGCAAAGCTGCCTGGCTGAGGATTGCTTCACAATTCCAGCCTTCCAGCCATGTGAACAGCATGCTGGTTCCCCTGCCTGGAGAGGGTGGGCGTCTGCGTGCCAAAAGTTAGACTCTGACTCTCTGTCTCTCTCTGTGTCTCTGTCTCTCTGTCTCTCTCTCTCTTTTTCTCTCCATGGAGCCTGGGTGCCAGACCTGGTGGGTGACCTTGGGGACCTTGGGATCTTCCACTCTGCACACACAAACACACACACACACACACACACACACACACACACACACACACACACCAGACCTGGT